AGGCTGCTGCACCTCAGTTCTCAGCTACACAGTCTCCGGTCTCTGGTTCTAACATTCCCTTTCCTCACAACAGCATACTCACCACTCTGGCTGCTGCATCCAGCAATTCCTTTAGCTGTGGTTTGCTTCTACAGTTTCAACTCCTATCACTATGCATCACTATGCAAATGACTACCAGACCTAATATGTCCTAATATATAATCCTGGCTCTCCTCTGGATTTCATTCCTACATCATTATCATCATCATCACCAACTGGTTTTGGACATTTCAAAGTGGTTATCCTGAAGACACATCTTAAATTCAATGTGTCTAGAATTGGACTCACTATCTTTTTTTTTAATTGATTTATTTTTAGTTTTCAACATTCACTTCCATAAGATTTTGAGTTCCAAATTTTCTCCCCGTCTCTCCCCTCCCCACCCCATGACAACATGCAATTTGATATAGGCTGTACATATACATTCATATTGAACCTATTTTCATATTAGTTATGTTGTAAAGAACTACAATCAAGAAACCACGAAAAAGAAGAAACAAAGAAAAAAGAGAGAGAGCAAATAATATGTTTCCATCTGCATTCAGACTCCATAGTTCTTTTTCTGGATATGGATAGCATTTTCCATCATGAGTCCTTTGGAGTTGTTTTGGATCCTTGCATTGCTGAGAAGCGATGAGCCTATCAAAGTTTGGACTCATTATCTTTTGTCTCAATCCTCCCCTCTTCCAAATTCCCTACTTTTCTGTTGTTGAAGGTTGTTGTTGAGGGCACCAACATCCTTCCAGTTGTCCAAGTTTATAACTGTGGCATTAGACTCCACTCCTCACTCTTCCTCATTCTATGTTTCCAATCAGTTGTCAAAGTTCGCCATTCCAACATTCAAAACATCTTTCTCATTCGACCCCTTCTCTCTACTCACACAGTAACCACCTTGGTTCAGGTCCTCCTCACCTCTCTTCTCCCCAAGATTATTGCAACAACTTGCTAATTTGTCTCCCTGCCCCAAGTCTTTTTCTACTGCAATCCATCCTCTATACTGCTGCTAAGATCATTTTCCTTAAATACGTAACTGGCCATGGAACTCTCCTACTCAATCAACTCCAGTGGCTTACTATTGCCCCCCTCCTGCCCTCTGATCCAGCCAAAGTGGCTTTCTCTGTGTACCTCACACGCAGTACTTCATCCCCTCTATCCCAGCCTCAGCACTGGCTGGCCCACGTACCCACAATGCATTCCCTGCCCATTCTCGGAAAGGTCCCTCTCTTCCTTTACCATGCAGGTCAGTCACCATTGTCTTCCCCAATGCCCCCCAACTACTAGTGCCCTCCCTCCCAAGCTATCTTATATTTAACTACTTTGTGTGTATTTGTATGTATTCATTTTACATTTTTTGTAGTGTCTCTTTCTATATGTACTTCTTTTCTCCCTCAATAGTGTATGAGCCTCTTACAGTTCAAGATTGTTTGATTCTTTGCACCTGAATCCCTAGTGCTTGGCTCCTAGTATTTCCATAAGTACTTAGTGATTTATGTCAGTCCCAAAATTCCTGACAGATAGATCTCTGTGCCACTGCTTGAGCCCCTGACTGGCTTAGAGCTCAAGATAGTTTCAGTCCCTCCCAAGGAGGGAAGTAAATGTCATTTGTCTGAGATGACATCTTTCCTAGCCAAGGTACAGAACACTTATCCCTGCCTGCAGAGATCTGCCTCAAAACTGGTTAAATGAGGGGCAGCTAGATGGTGCAGTGAATAGAGCACTGGCCCTGAAGTCAGGAGGACCTGAGTTCAAATCCAGCCTCAGACCAAACACTTGACACTTATTAGCTGTGTGACCCTGGGCAAGTTACTTAACCCCAATTGCCTAAAAACAAAAAACAAAAACAAAAAAAAACTGGTTAAATGTACATATAGATGTATGTGTGGAGGGCAGGAGGGAGGGAGAGAGACAGTGGAGAGAGAGAGAGAGAGAAGGGGAGGAAGAGAGAAAGGGAGAGGAAGAGAGAGAGAGACAGAGGAGGCAGAGAGAGGAGGAGGCAGAGAGACAGGGAGGAAGAGGAAGAGAGAGAGAATTTAATCCACAACCCAATGAGGCTAAAAATGTAAATATTATTTTCCCAATTCTATTCTATAAATCCGGCTTTATTTCATTCCTGTTTCCTCCCAGTTTTCTGAATGCAAAAGATAAATAAATGACTCAAACCCTCCCCCCCAAAAAAAGAAGAAAGTCCCACAGCTAATAAATATAGGAGGGGGGGCTTGAAGGCAAAGTCATTCTCCTTCTATTCTACCACTGTGTGAAGAGATGAATGGAAGGATTTTTTTTAACCCTCCTTAATAAGGGTTTAGAGATTGGCAAGTCTGGGTTTTGTTTTGTTTTGTTTTTTAATTTGATCTACAAAGTCCCCAGAGTGTGGCAGAAATTACATTTTTTTAAAAAACACAAATAATCAACCAAAAAAGATAGGACACCAGACCAATACAAAATATAACATTTTATTTGCAAGGCCAGAGTGAGGGGAAGAGGGAATCAAGCTAACAAGCTATTTTTTAAATGGACATAAAAATAAATATTCATTTAGCACATTAAAGATGTACATTTCAACATTCATTTTTTAGCTGAATAGAACCTGCTATTACTTTACATCAGACTTTTAAAATAGGTTTGATTTTTTTTAATGTTAAAATCTAATTTTCAAGAGTTACAAAGCCTTTGCTAATGGTATATTCCTTTATATACATATACACACAGAAATATATGTCTTCCTCTTGCTCCTTAAGCCACAGAATATTTTCCCATCACCCCCATAAAATATGCCAGTAGAAAAAAAAAGTGAATTATTTTTCTTTGGTTATTCAAATTTTAAATCAGAGCCTCTCCACAATGTTCACCATGACCACCCAATAATATCTTCAATTTAACTATGATCTGTAAATAACCTTGCTGATATAAGTGTGTATTTTTTATATCTATTATTTACACACATACAAATGCATATATACATATATGTATCCCAGGGATCTGTTCCTAGTTCTTAAAACCAGACAAGATGATGAGAATAAAAAAAAAAAAAGGCTGAGAATGTCAGAGAAAGGCATTGTGGGCCTCACCAGCCCCTGTCCTACCCTTCACTCGGAACCTAAGTGAAGGTGGTAGAGAAAGAGTCAGAATGTATCCCCTCCGCCCCTGTTTTTAACATAGTTAGGGCAAGGGTAGTGCCAAGGATTTCACATCCAAATACCGAAAGCACCAATTTCCCCAGTGCCGAACCAACAGTATAGTAGGCACTAGAATTACTTCTTAGAATTATAGGATTTAGAACTAGAAGGACCCTAGAAATGAAGGAAAAGGGAAGTGATTTCCCTGAAATAACACAAGAAACAGAGCCAAGACTTGAACCAAGATTTCCCCACTCTAAATCTCATGTTCTTTCTGACTCATGTGTATATGTTTTTCTTCTCTAATTGGATTATAAACTCTTCAGTGAGAACTGGCATGTTGACTTCCAAACTGGATTCATTAGGATGGGATTGACCATCTTTTACCTAGGCCACTGTTTGCCATAGAACAGAATTTGTTATAAAGTGAATCTAGCTTGAACTCTGGGACAAGAAGGTTTACTCACCTAGGCATACTGTGTGGCTGAAGCGCCCACTGCATGACCTGAGAGAGGCATCACCTGGCCCCATTGCATATTTATTGCTAGAGGCTGACAGGGAATGAACAAGAAATACTACTGATCGGTGAATGCTGTTGCCTGGCTAGGAAGGGCCAAAAACTACTTGCAGAGTCCCAAGATATCAAGAGTTGAAGGGGATCTTGGAACACAGAATTTTAGGACTGGGAAGCCTTAGACCAAAGAACAGCAATATAGGGTAAGGCAGGATTTGGAAGCAGAGGACAGACTTCAATACTATTGTGGCATCATTTAAGTCATGTCTGACTCATTGTGACCCCATTTGGGTTTGCCGTTTCCTTCTCCAGATTATTTTACAGATGAAGAAACTGAGGCAAACAAGGTTAAGTGACTTGCCTAAAGTCACACAACTAATACGTGTCTGAGGCTGGATTTGAACTCAGGTCTTCTTGACTCCAAGCCTGGCACTCTATCCACTATGGTGCCACCTTTACCATATTATCCATGTGACCTCAAGCCAGTTATTTAGCCTCCCTGGCCCTGTCTCTTCATCTGTAAAAAGAGAAGATTGGAATAGATGACCTGAAAGTTCCCTTTAAACTCTAAGTCTATGAACGACAGGGCTAGAGATAACCTTTTATAGCTGGATAGGGTCCTTAGGACACTGAATGGGAGAGTGAAAAGAGTCCTTCAGATATCATCTCATTCACCAGTGTTTTCATTTCAAAGATAAGGAAATGAAGGGAAGTAAGTTGTCTAATGGCGTGCAGCTAGTTAGGGGCAAAACCGAGAGCTGACATTAGAATTCGTGTCTTTTCCAATGCTGGGTCAGACCCACTTTCTACTGCAGCTCCAACAATCTTCTGTCATGGCAGGGGTAGTGTCTGAAAAATCCAAAATCCCTATAAAAATGCTTTCAAAATAATAAGGCACTTCAATCCAGAAATCAGCAAGGGCAGCCAACCACAAGCTTACAGTTTTAACTAGTGAAGAATGTAAACTCCTTGAAGGCAGGGCCCATTCTGACTTATTGGAATGTTTTTGGTATTCCCAGAGCCTAGCAGGGCACATTACCCCCTAAGAGGCACTTCGTGAATGCTTATCTCTTGAATGGAACTGAAATAAAAGAATGAAGACAGCTTAGCTACTGGTGGCTGCCATTCCCCAAAGCTTCCTCCTCAGCTGTTCACTGGTAATAATAATCAGAGTTTACAAAGAGCTTGAACATTAGCATCTACATAGCTTGCAAACTGCCTTATATGTCATCTCCTGTGAACCTCACAACAATATGAGATAGGTGCTATACTAGCCCCATTTGACAGACAAGGAAACTGAGGCTGAGGGAGGTCAAGTCCCCACTCAGGGTCACATAGTTAGTAAGCATCTGAGGCAGGGTTTTAATTCAGGTCTTCCTGACCAAGTGCATTGTTCTTTCCACTGAACTAGTTAGGCTACCAACACTGAGTATTTATACAGCAATGTCTAAACACTGAAAACATCAGTAATCTCAAGATGCAGAAGGAAAAAAAAAATCAGTGCAAATGAAAACCGAACCAAATGCAGAAAATAGTAGATTGTCTTTACAATTTCTACAAATCAGGACAGTCCTGTCCCAGTTACCAAAATGCATCAATGAATGGTTAGAGAGATGACCCCATGCCTCTTTCAAACTTCACCTTTTCAGACCCTTGGTTTATAAAGAACCTGATCAGAATAGTTCCCCCCAAATGAATTCCCTGCAGAATCCCCCCCCCAAAATCCCTAGAACAATATTATTAATACTACAGTGATGGGAAATGGGGTAAGAGGTGTGGTCCAGTGGGATGAAGGAGGGGCACAGGGGTTCTCTAGACGGTGATCTGTTGATTTTCTCTAAAAAAGGGCCTTTGATGAGGTCCACAGATATCTTGAAATCTGAAGACCTGATCAGGCTGGGCTACATCCTCCGGAGGCTGGAGCATGAAGGCATTGCTGCAGTTTTTTCCGGCCTCATCCCTCAGCTGCCGTACATAGAGCTGCTCCACCTGGAGTTAAGTAAGGAATTGGAGGTTAAATCCAAAATAACGGCCAGAATTTATGTAACGCTTCAAAGTTTGCAAAGCGCTTTGCCAAAATAGGTTAACTCATTCAGTCAGAACATACGTTCGCCACAGAATTCCACAGCACATTTAGCTAAGAATGGACTGGACTGTTCCTCACCTGAACAAGGATGAGCTTGGAGCGCAAGGGAGCCAGGTCAGGGAACTCCTCGCCAAAGCACAGCATCACTCTGCTGTCAGGAAGCTGGCTTTGGTTGTTGTAAAACTGCTGCAGGTCTGCGCAGAAAGCAGAAAGGGACATTTCAAGCCAAGGGCAAAGAGGTTGAGTCCTCCCTGCCCCCTGCCCCATCCCTGAGGTCTACATTGCAATCGATCCAAAATCTCGTGCAATTCAGATTGTTTATAAATCAAGGCCAGGCATATCGCTGGCACCCTCTGATCAGCAAGCACAAAGTTAAGTCATCGTCGTTGCTGCTCCTGGGTCATAAAACAGGGTCTCCTTTTCAACTTCTAAGAAGGTGGAGCACAGAGTCATAACTAGCATGGGGCAGCTGGGGCTTTGCCCCAGGGCACTAATATCTAAAGGAGAAGAAGACTACTTCTTTCCCATGTAAGCTGTGACGGAAGATCATGAGGTACAGATGACTTCCACAGCCACAGAAAGAAGTATATCCTTACTCTTAATAGCCCCTAACCACTGCTCTGCTCCCCAAGAGTCTCGTTAATGGAATACCCATCACCTGGTCTCCCTCCCTCTGCCTCAACTGCCACCCTGGCACAACTGCATCTGACCAGGGTAGATTCCCAGCACTTGGTCTAGCCTAAGGATCTATGCCATGAAGGGCACCCAGGATTAGCTCTGGGACCAGTAGTGATAGCGGTACTAGCTCACCATGGGATATCCCGGGGTCTTTGTTTCCCCCTTTTCTCCCACAAATTGATTTGTCCAGGAGCTAGAATTCCTAGTTATGAGTCTAACTGAGAAGCAAATAAAGTACAATGACCCTGAATGTTTCAAGCCATAGGGAAACCTATGGAAACCTTCCAGCCTCATCCCCAACTATTCCCCTAAAAACAAAATAAAAATAAAAACCTTGTGTCTGGCACATAGTAGGCATTTCATAAATGCTTGTAGACTTGCTCCAGTCAAGCCACCAAGATGATACTGAGAATTCCCTTCCCCTTCTACTCTATTTCAACCTTAGGCGTCCTTCAATGCCCAGCTCAAATCCCACCTCTTCCATGAAAGCTTTCCTGAATGACCCATTGGACACACTGAATTCCTTATAATAATTTACATCTCTATGGACCTTTATGGTTTACAAAGCACCTTCCCCAGACACAGCCCTGTAAGGTAAGCAATGGAAGTTTCATTAGCAGCATATTACAGATGGAGAGGCGGAGGGGCTAGAAACACAGCCACGAAGTCAGAACAACATGGGTTCAAGTTCACCTCTGACACATGGCCCCAGGCCCCCAGCCTCTCAGTGTCTCAGGCATCTCTTTCATACCATAAGTTACAAAACAGTGGCAAATTTGCATTGGTAGGGAAAAACGTTCTCAAAAGAAAGACCACCACACTGAAGAAGTCACAGATATGGTGCAAAAATATTACAGATGAGGAAACTGAGTCTAAGAGAAATGAAGTGCTTGTGACCTTATTCAAAGTCACAAAGCTGGTAAGGCTGGGAGTCAGGAAGTGAGCCCAGGGCACCTGAATCCAGGACCAACATTCTTCCCACTGCCCCATGCTTCCCTTATTCCTATATCATTTGTAATCATCCATAACTCTCATCTAGTACTTAGCATGTACTATCTTTTTTTTTTTTCAGGCAATTAGGGTTAAGTGACTTGCCCAGGGTCACACAGCTAGTAAGTGTCAAGTGTTTGGTCTGAGGTCAGATTTGAACTCAGGTCCTCCTGACTTCTGGGCCAGTCCTCTATCCACTGTGCTACTTAGCTGCTTCCCATAGCATGTACTATCTTATAGGCACTTTTTTTTTCAAACCTATATGTCTGTTCTAATCTTCTCCCAAGAGACTGTAAGCTCCATGAGGGCAAGAATCATTTTCTTATTAAATCCCTTATATTTCTTGACATTCCTCACAATACTCAGCGTGTCAATTAAGTGCATGGCAGGCCAAAAAAGATTTACTCGGATTGAATCTCAGACACACAACACGAACTCTCAGTTTTCAAATCCAACCACAGGAAGGGTTTGTGATCAAAGGGTCACGACGAATGTCACAGGAGAAGGGCATAGTGTAGTGGAATGGATACCAAAGTAGGAGTGGGAAGACCTAAGAGCTAGGTGGAGCAGTGAATAGAGCACCAGGCCTGGAGTCAGAAGGACCAGAGTTCAAATCTGGCCTCCAGCACTTACTCACTGGATGATCTGGGCAAAGTCACTTCACCCTGTTTGCCTCATCCGTACAATGAGCTAGAAAAGGAAATGGCAAACAACTTCAATATATTTGCCAAAAAAAACCAAAAAACAAAAAACAAATGGGGCCACTAAGAGTAGGGCACGACTGAAAAGACTGAGTAACAACAGGCGTAGGTTCTGGACCCATCTCTGCCACTCGTGATCAGCATGACCTTAGTCAAGTCATTTCTCTCCTTTCCAGGGCTCCTTTTTCTCATCTATAAAATGGGGATAAAAACTCCTACCCTGTCTATCTCACAGGATTCTTGAGAAGGTCCAGTAAGATAACAGATGTCAAAGACTATGTGTAGGTTGAGTGGTTGTACCAAAAGAGAGTGTAGTGTAATGGAAAGAACACTGGATGGGGAGCCAGGAAACCCCTGCTCTTCAGCTTACTTGTTATGTGGCCCTGGGTTGTTATAGCTCCTTCAAAACCCAAGCACTTAGCGTAGTGACTGGCACATAGTAGGTGCTTAATAAATGCTTGTTGACTTGTTGAATGTTACTTGCATTACTCACCTCATGGGGGAACTGGGAGGAAAGTGCTTTGTAAGCCCTATGGAAATGTGGGTTGGAACCCAGTACTCCCATCTGTCTGTATCTCCCTATGGCCCTACACCATAGCTCTATGCCACTTAGCACTTAAAATTTAAATGGTATAAGATGGTGGCACTATTTCAAGTTCAAGGAACAAGACTAAGCCTTATACACACCCCTGAAAAACTGGTTTGTGTCAAAAATCTTGACCACTTCATCCCGTTCCAATTTGTTGGGCCTGTCCTTAAACATCATGGAGTTCCCACTGCAGAAGACTCTCCCCTGGCACAATCTCTTGATGAAGACGCCATTTTTGTTGCTGTGTAACAGGACTCCTCGATCCAGGTGGCCAAAGAGTTTCTTGGTGACCTGCTTCTGACGGTCATTTTGGATGATTTCTGCCGGTGGGAAGCGAATGTGCTCTAAGCTTTCAGAGCCATACATCTTCTCCAGGTGCTGAGGCGGTAGGCTCAGAGAGATCCGGCAGCCCTCAGGGTAAGTGGTGGTGGTGTGGCCTACCAGTTTACCTCCATAATAAAAGCTGATCATCATCTGGGAGTAAGCTGTGGAAAAGGGAGAAACGAAAACCATGAGCCTGTAGATGGCCTAGAGAGCTGGAGTCAGCAAGGACCATAGAGACCAGAGACACCCTGTTTTAGAGTTAGAAGGGTCTTTTGAGGCTATCTAATCCAACCCATACCTGAACTGTACAAACTGCTAATTTGACAAATGAGGAAACTGAGGCATAAAGAGATTAAGGAATTGATCTGGATCACAGAGAGAATAGGCATTTCAATCTCAAGTTCTCCAATCCCAAATCCAGTCTGGGGGACTAGGGAGGGGAAGGAAGCAGTCTGTTCCCTATATCATCCATCTCTTGAGCCCTGGGCAAAATTGATAAATGGTTGAAATTTGCACATTTGAAGATGAGTCTTCCTAATTCCAAGCCCAGTGCTCTATCCACCGCACCAACTAGCTGCCCTAGTTTGTCAATATCCTTCCTAAAACAGGGCATCTAGAACTGAAAACGATATTCTGGATGTTGTCAAGCAGAGCTAGCTCTCTGTATATTAGGGTTCTTTTAACGAAGCCATACGTGTCATACTGACTAATAGTATTAATTTAATATTATTCTTAATTAGTTATTAATAGAATTCGTATTAATATTATTAAAGTTCCACTCAAACCTCTGAATCTTTTCCCACACAAATTGTTGTCCAGCCATACCTCCCCCGTCCTATACATGTGCAACTGAATTTTTCAGTCTCTTTCTGGGACCGTACACATACAATTTGGTTCATCTCTCTAACATGTGGGGAACTTCTTAAATCACTCTCCACTAGCCCACATTATGCAAAGCAGTTTTCATGTCCCTGAAGAAAGTAATGTCAGCTTCCTAAGAAGGAAAATTGGAGTCCATTAGTTTAGCTGGTTTGAACACAGCATTAATGACAATGTACCTAATGACACATAAACCGCCTCATAAAATGCTTATTGACCAACTAACCATATAAATCAATTAGACTGCTTTAAGAAAAGGGTCTCCAGACTTGATCCAACTCACAGACAGTCACCAACGATTACACAGAGAACTTGGTAACAGTTTGTGCACAGTTCAATGCAAAACTACCTCCCATTCCTTCAGTCTCCTCCCTTTGTCAAAGGAAGGAGTTAAACCAGATTGCCTCGGAAATTCCTCTGATTGAAGGGTGGAGCCATGAACTCCAAACTGGCCAAGTCACTTCACCCTGTTTGCCTCCGTTTTCTCATGTGTAAAACGAGCTGGAGAAGGAAATGGCAAACCACTCCAGTGTCTTTGACAAGAAAACCCCAAATGGGGTCATGAAGGGTCAGACCCGACTGAAAAAAAGACTGAACAACTCACAGAGGCACCCAAGGCATGATCAAAGAAAACTGATTGTACAGAATTCAGAATGAACTAGCCTCTAGTCCAGGAGTTCTTAACCCTTTAGGTGTCATGGATCGCTTTGGCAGTTTGGAGAATACTCTGGACCCCTTCTCAAAAGAAGTTTTTTTTTTAATAATAATTGAAAAAAATGCTAAATTTCAATTACAGGTTATTGAAATAAAGATGTAATTTTTTTTTTCTAAGTTCACAGACTCTCTTGCTCTAAATCATTTTTCCCTAAGGAACTTAATCTGCTTTCCAGACTTTTTTTTTCAACATGTTTTGTTAACTCACAGAGAGGCCCATAGGGGTTAGGAGGCTTCCATATAACCATGTAAGGGGGAAAAAGTATAAGGCTCAAGACTTTCTACCGATGGTTGGTCATGGTCTAGCTAAGCTAAGCAATGGTAGGCTCATACTGAAAGCCTTTTCCAGATTGAAAGGTCACAGAATCACACATTCCTTGGGAACAGCCTTAGAGTATTTCTAGGCAACACTGGGCCAAGAGGAAGTAGGAGAAAAAAGCTTTAGTAGAGGACTCTGACATGGCAACTAATACAGTCAAACCCATCTGCTACTTTACCTGAATGATGAGATTCATAAGCAGGGTACCCAGTCATCAAGGGTATGGCTATTAGAATATTAGAAGGAGAAAAAAAATAAATTTAGAACCACACAAGACAAGTTCAGACAACACATCCTTCCCTCCCCCAAAAAAACAAAAAACAAAAGAGTTTTCTTTAAAATTTTTATATAGCATGTTCATTAGGCCACAGTATAGACTTCCGCTCAATTCTGAGTGTTCCTCCCAACCATAACATAGACTCATGGTTTCATAAGAGCAGAAAACCAAAGTCTCACCCAGACTAGAATAGAGGTTTATACTTCCTCTGTCCAGTGGGGAGGGATTCTTCAGATGTGCTCAAGTATCTTGACAAGCCCTTAAATAATATGACTGTTCGGCTGTTCTTAACCCCTTCACCTCTCGATCCCTACGACCTTATCCCCTGCATTCAAGAATTCAGAAACTATCTACCCTTATCCACTGTCCATGTATTTTCCCCAATATTCAATTCAGTAGAGATGATTCTCTAAGACTAATGTAAGGATTTTCTTTGTATGTAGTTATATGAAGAGGTAGAGTGGCTCTCTACCCGCTATCTCACCATACGGGTCCCCCTCTGCCCACCCCAGACATCCACATGTCCACTTGTCACCATACAATGCCACTATAACAATTGTTGGCGTCCTTTTCGGAATTTTATACCAAGCTTTCAAATCTGACTCTTGCTTTAAAAAATAGGGGGACGAGGAGTTGAATATTCACTCTCACATTCATGGGGGAAGGGCTGCCAGCTGATAGTTCAAGCACGCCCATTAGCAGCAGAACTATGATCAGAGTTTCTTTCAATGTTTTCTCCTACTATAATAGCAAATGAAGGCAGGAAGTTAAGGCATGTTCTCCAGAATGTTGTGGAGAGCAAAAAAACACCAATCTCTCATAGCAGTGGTTCCCATTTACTAGTTTATTCTGATGGTCTAAGGGATTTGCACTAAAAATTCTTCAATGGCACCTCAAGCAGTAAGTAACCATAAAGAATATTATGACTAGTATGTTAAATTACCCTGGGGGTTCACCAAATTTTTTTTGTGGTTGTTGTTAAGAGGGTTTTGCAGAGCAAACAAAATTGAGAACAACTATCTCGTAGCAAATACAACAATTCTTATTTCTCACCTGCACTAGATTGCTGTATCCACCAGTCTGGAATTGGTTGGCTTCTACAGGCTTCTTGGGGTGAAGGACTTCTTTTGATTATGCCAAGGTATTCATCTACCAAGGGCTGCCCAACACGGTGGAGTGGAAGTGGGGGAGGGAGGAAAGAAAGCACCATTATTTAACTTTCAATTTGTAACTCATTGAAGACTTTGATAATTAATGTCTTTATGTCATGTTTAGCAGTTTGTTTTCTAGAGGAACTTTTTTCTCCACTTCTGAGATATCAAGCAACAAGTATTTATCAAGCACCTACTATGTACCAGGCACTATAACCAACACTGAAGTTACAAGTACAAAGAGTGAAACAATCCCTACTCACAAAGAGCTTCTATTCTGATGAGGAAGACAGCAAATGTGTATAACAATATGTATGGCATAAAAATAAAATGAATAAATACAAACATATACAAAATAGTTAAAGGGTAAGGGCAGATAGGTGGCACAGTGAATAAAGTGCTGGGCTTAGAATCGGTACGACCCAAGTTCAAATCTGGCCTCAGACACTTACTAGCTGTGTGACCCTGGACAAATCACTTCATCCTGTTTTCCTCAGTTTCCTCATCTATAAAATGAGCTGGAGAAGGAAATGGCAAACTATTCCAGTATCTTTGCCAAGAAAACCCCAAATGGGGTTTTTGATCCCAAATGGGATCAAGAAGAGTCAGGCACAATTGAAAATGACTGAACAACAAAAAAGCTAAAGGGTAACCAGTTGAGGGGATCAGAAAAGGTACCATACAGAAGATGGTGACTGATCTGAATCTTTTTTTTTTTTTAGTGAGGCAATCAGGGTTAAGTGACTTGCCCAAGGTCACACAGCTAGTACATATCAAGTGGTTGGGCTGAGGTCAGATTTGAACTCAGGTCCTCCTGACTTCAAGGCCGGTGCTGTATCCACTGCGCCACCTAGCTGCCCCGACTGATCTGAATCTTAAAGGAAGAGAAAAGCTCTATGAGTTAAAGGTAAGGAGGGAGTGTATTCCAGACACATGGATCAGCCAATGCAAAGGCATAGAGATGGGAGTTGGAACATTGTATGCAACGGACAGAAACAAGATCAGTTTGGTTGGATCTCGGATGGCAAGAGGGGAAGTAACGTCTAATGAGGCTGGAAAGGTAGGTTGGAGCCAGATGATGGAGGGCTTTCAAAGTTCAACAGAGTTTATATTATTTGCCTAAAGGCAATAGGAAGCCACTGGAGTTTACGGAGTAGGGGAGTCAAGTGGTCAAATCTGTGTTTACTTTGGCAGCAGAGTGAAGGCTGGAGCGGAAAGATTCTAGAGGCAGAAAGAGTAATTAATGGGTTGTTGCAATAATCTAAGAGAGGTAACGAAGCCTGAACTAGGGTGGTTTCTGTGTAACTACTGATGTGAGAGCGACTGTGAAGGTAGAAATAACAAGAACTGGCCATTGATTGCACGTGTGGGTTGAAAGTCAAAGACAATGCTGAAGCTACAAACCTGAGAACCTAGAATGATGCGGGTGCCCTTGACAGAAATAAGTTAGCTTGGAGGAGGGCAGGGTCTGGGGGGAAAGATGAGTTCAGTTTGCAGCATATTGAGTGTAAAATATCTCCAAGCGATTCTCTACCCTGACATAACTGATGACCCACTTTAGAAGAATTGATTAGTCGATTCCATGAAACAACAATAATGGATTTTCCCACAGAAGTCAATTTAATCCCATAAACACTTATTTTAAGTACCTACTATAGTCAAGGTGGCTCAGTGGACAGAGCACTGAGACTAGAGTCAAGAAGACCTGAGTTCAAATTCAGCCTCAGACACTTCCTAGCTGTGTGACCCTGGACAAGTCACTTAACCTCTGATTGCCTGACAAAATGGATCCACTGGACCCACTGGAGAAGGAAATGGCAAACCACTCCAGTATCTTTGCCAAGAAAACTCCACATGGGGTCAAAAAGTGCCAAACACCCCTAAAATAACCAAACAACAATACTTAAGGTGTCAAACCAGGACAAAAAAAAATTTCTGGAGTAATTTCCTGTCCCAAAGAAAGATAGAACATGTAAATAGATGATCAGATACAAGACGGCTTGAAGACAGGGAGAACACCAATGGGCATCAGGAAAGGTTCCATACAGTCAGTGGCACCTGAATGGAGGAAGATGAAGATTTGAAGAAGGCTCACCAAGTGGTGAGAAGGGAGTGTATTCTGAGTGTGAGGGGAAGCCGATACAAAGGCATGGCAAGGAAATAGGAGATAGAATGTCGAGATAGTTGGAAGGGACAATGAATGAAGGGTATCCTTCCTAACCCTTCCTCTCAAATATAAATGCCCTCCCTTCCAAACTACATCATATTTAACTATTTTGCATATGTGTGTATGCATATGCATTTATTTATAAACATTTATATGTATATTACTTTTGTGATAGTTATAGATAGACAGATAGATAGACAGATAGATGTATTTTGTGGGTACTTCGTATCTTTTTTTTTTTTTTTTGGTGAGGCAATTGGGGTTAAGTGACTTGCCCAGGGTCACACAGCTAGTGAGTGTTATGTGTCTGAAGCCATATTTGAATTCAGATCCTCCTGACTCCAGGGCCGGGGCTCTATCCACTGCACCACCTAGCTGCCCCTGCTACTTAATATCTTCCCCATTCCAATGTAAGCTCATTTTGAGCAAGGAATGTTTCATTCTTTGTATCTGAACCTCCAGGACCTAGCACAGGATCCGGAACATAGTAGATACTTGGTTGATTAAAATTAATTGATTACTTTGGTGTCTGTCCCACAGACATAGCCCAAGGACCCAGAATCACAGGACCTCTGAGCTGGGAGGTCATCCAGTCCAACAAGCACCTCAGCAGGTACCACGTCCCCACCTACACAGTTTCCGATTAAAGACTCTGAAGGATGAGGACCTCATCACCTTGGAGACAGCCCACGCTATTTTGGGACAGCTCGAATTGTCAGGAAATGCTTTTCTTATATTGATCGGCAGCTGTCTCTACCACTCCCACTTATTGATCCTAGCTCTTTTATCTGAAGCTAAGTAATGCAAATTTAATGAATGCCCCTTCCACGTAACAAACCTTCAAACACTGCTTGACTCATAGTAAGTACTTAATAAATACCACTGAGAGTTTCTCCAGTTTATCTTGTTTATATCTGTTTGTACATAGTTATTTACATGTTGTCTCCACATTAGACTGTTAGTTCCTTGGGAGTAGGGGCTATTTTGCGTCTGTCTCTATACCCCCAGTGATTAGCACAGTGCCTGGCACATAGTAGGTGTTAATAACTGTTGACTGATTGATTTGAAGAAAACTATTATATCATCCTTATCTTCCCTTTTCCAATCAAAACAACCATAGTTTTCTGTTTTGTTTTGTTTTGTTTCCCAACTAACCCTCATATGGCATGGTCTCCAATAAGTACTAAATTAAAAGCAAAGTTCTCTGTAACTTGCCAAAAAAAAAAAAAAAAGCTTTATTGTGGCATATTTTTACTGCGAATACCTGCTCTAGATTTCTGCCCTGCTTCTGAAATTTAAGTCACAAATCTGATTACAAAACATTTGGTAATTTGATTTTCTTGTGACTCTAATGTGGCAATCAACTTGTCTTCCCCTCTGAGATAATTCAGTGGGAAAACAGCACACAGAAAACAGCACACAGAAAACAGGAAATTTAGGGAGAACCCTTCCATCTACATAATATAAGCAGTTAGGAATTAACACAAAGAACCTTCAATAGCCCTTGTCTACCAAAGGCTATGGTCTATTTGGACTATGTTAAGATTCGTGTCATCCTGATTGTTTCTGTGTGATGGTATTCATATACATTACCAATAAAATTCATTTTGTAAATAATCATTTATGATTAAAATTTAAAAAACAAACAATAAAATAATTTTATACCCAAAATTTTTTTTGTTGGTAATTGGCAATTTTATTGGCATTGGCACCTCATTTGACATGGGACTTGGTGTGTTATTTTCAATGTACTAGTACAATGCTTATCTGAAGGACAAACTTCCACTGGCTTCAACCAATCTAAAACACAGCCAAGAAGATAGAAATCAATGAAAAGGAGCTCTGAGAAGTGAAAAGACTCAGGCATTAAAGACTGTGCACTTCACATGTAGGAGGACCTTATACGTGGCTCTAAATCATAGCCTATTTACCTTCATTTTATACACAATTTTAATAAGCTTGACCATCTGGCTTCTCAAGCCACAAAACATTAAATACAACAAATTAGAAGGGATGTCACCAGAGGCAGGCACATAGGCTGCCAAATGTTATTTTTTATTGCTGTCTAACAGCAAGGGAGGAAAGCAGGAAAACTATAAAAAGCGGACATGAGATTTCAGAAAGAGAAGACAGGCATGAGGCATTCAGTATACGAGCAGCTAAGCTCATATACTTCAATTGTCCCTGAGGGCACAAGTGATACCCATAATGATAACCTTTTCGAGAAGAAAAGGTTCAATTGGCCTCAATGTCATCGATTCAAAAAGACAAGGAAGAATATTCTCCATTTTAGAGAGAAGTCATGAGGTGGTGGAAAGCACCCTCGATTTGGGGTCAGAGAACTTGGGTTTGAATCCCAGCTCTGCTTGTTATAACCTGTGTGACCTCAAGAAAAGCCACTTTTACTTCTTGAGGCCTCCATTTCCAAATCTGGTAAAATGAGATGATTATGATTGCACTAGGTGACCCCCTAAGGTTCCTTCTGGCTCAAAATCTCATGAGTATTTTTATCATTTCTAAATTTGAAATTTTATTTATGTGGAACAGGTCCTTCCTCATATCTGTCAAATGTGAGAGCTGTTATTGTAGTCTTAATGAGAAAGGCAGAGGACTATGGGAGCAGAGTATCCTAGGATTTGAAGCTAGATGGGTCGATAAACACTATCTCACTGAGACCTCTTATTTTACTGATAAAGAGCAACTCTTTCCCCATCTCTGTCAAGTGAAAGGGATGGGGTAGCCTTTTCATTGTTCAGAGCTCCTTTTCATTGATTTCTAGCTTCTTGGTTATACTTTGGATGGTTGAGACTACTGGAAATCTGTCCTTCAGATAAACATTGTATTTGTACATCAGATATAAAGCACCAAGTCCATGGCAAATGAGATGCCAATGCCAATAAAATTGCCAATTAGGAATCGAATTAATTTTAGTCATAAAATTATTTTATTATTTAATTTTTATTTGTAAAATTAAGTATTATTTATATTTATTTGTAAAATTAATTATTATTCATAAAAATGAATTCTATTGGTGATATGTTAACAATATCACACAAGGACAACCTGATCCCAAAGTAAGTCAGAGTGGCACTAAGCCATAGGATTATGAGACCAAGAGATCCCAGGATTTGGAACCAAAAGCAACCATAGATGTCATCTCATTCAGTCCCCTAAATTTACAGATAAAGAAATGGTATTATGAGGGATTGCATATGAAGTGCTTTGCAAACTTTAAGGCACTATATAAACGTCATCAAGTCTTATTACCTGACCCAATACAATCAACCATCCAATGATCTGAACTTAATAGAGTTCAAGGCATCATCTTTGCAAAGGCACTACAATTATTCCTTTCATATCTTGAGGGGGCAAGTGGTGTCAGGGTACAGCATCCCCAATCCCCCAACCCCACCACCCCATGTAAAATTTTTTGGCCCTCCCTTCCTACCAGAGAAAAAGTCTGAATTATTGTATTAAAAGATAAAATATGTTGATATTACACAATTACAAGATTAGATATATATTTTTATGGATTTCTGAGTTTCTAAACTTTTTCTGTGTCGTCTACTGGCCCTCACATGTTGTCTACAGCTTCCGCAAAACTCCCAAAAAAATTCCCATTTAATTTCCTAGGCTGACTCATGATCTCGAAACCTCAGTGGGGAAAGTTGCTATGTGGAAGGGATAACTAGAAGCCAGACTCCAGGGAGACCAAAAAGAAAAGGGACTTTTCAGAGAATAAGAGCTCAGGAGGCCAGTTGTTAACTTACCTCTTTCATCAGATCCTCTATTTCAGATCGACCACAATTCATGTCAGTGACTTCGTTCACAGCGCTGCTGTTTGCCATTCCTATTTTGCCTAAAGAAAACCAGACAAAACCATGAGAAACAGAGCCCAATCACCAAACACTTGGTCAAGATAACACCCAATGGGAAGACATAAGGAACAATGCAGAGTGGAGGAGAAAGAGCCAAAAGGACGGCATTCTCAGTAACTAACCACAGCATAAATAAAATCAGCATTTAAAGGCCAGACAACTCTGATCAAATACAATGGTCAATATCAGTACCTTTCTGCCAAAGTTAAAGGCCACTCACAGCCCTCCATTCTTCAATCAATAAAAGAATTACTTCCTGCCAAAGTTCTTTATAGAGGAATTTGTTTGGGTGTTCATTAAGCTTTATCTATTGTGTCAAGACAAGTTGTATCCACATTAGTTTTTTTTCAAAATAAAGAAATTCATTTTAAGACCCTTGATGTTAAATTTATTTGAGTTTCAAGAAGATATAATCTTAAATAAATGAACTAGCTTGTCTATTGGTTTGGGAAAGAAACAGTGATTCAGCCATGATTCTGTACGTTGACCAAAGGCAAAATTTTTTGGTGTTCAGTAACAATAACCATTAGCATTCATATAGTGTTTCAAGACTTAAAAAGTGCTTTGCTTGAGGGGCAGGGTGGTGTAAATTTGGCGCCAGCAGATTTGTGTTCACATTCTAGTTCTGACATATACACTATATGAAAAAAAAATCACTTCACTGGGTCCCAGGTTCCTCATCTATAAAATGGGGTGATATTTGCCCCATTTCCTCCATAGGGATGCTGTGAAGAAAATATTTTACAAACCTTAGAGCATTGTAAGAATGTGAGTTATTATTAGTAGTCAAACTCAGATGTAGGGTAATACAAGGATCTGGAGGTTTTTTTTTGGTGGGGAGGGGGTTTCACTGGTACACAGAACTACCAATATAAAAGCATCCTACCCTTATGCAGACCAGCACTCTATCTGAAACTTAGATGAGCCTTAGAAAACTGTCCAGTGTACCAAAAGGTTAAGAAAGCATCAATATCAGGTTATAGATGAGGAAACTGAGAGGCTAAGAGAGGTTAAAAACCCAGCGCGACGTCACAAAGCTAAGTGATAGAGCCCAAACTGGAAGCCAGGTCTTCAGACAACTCCAAGCCCAGGGCTCCTTCTGTTCCACACTGTCCTTTCTATTGTCTTCAAATAACAAAGCTTTTTTGCTTTGTCTTTATAAAGTCATTCTAGAAATTTCTTAAATATAATCATACAAGAGTTAAGGTTATAAACTAAGCATCTTAATGATACGTAAAGATTTTCTGCCAACTGTATTTTGCAATTTAAAAATCAAATTGACAGGAACTCTCTTTTCAGTCTTTCTGAACATATGCTTGCACATGCAATGCATAAAGATTCACTTATGCAGAAAATTAAACCTAACTTGCTAGCAACAGCTCCCCAAAGGGCCCAAATGAACGGAGATTTTTCTAGTAAAACCCATAGGACAATTCATTACATCTCCTCACCCCAGTCCCACTAATATTTCTCTCCCAGATTGTCTCCATCTCCCAGGTTGTTAGGAGGCAAGGCACTATGTCATAAAAGACAGAGCTGACTTGGGTGTCTTCCCATTAAACCCTGCCAACTTACCTTTACTAACTGTGTGACCATGGAATAGGCTTTTAACCACTCTGAGCTCTGGGCAACTCTCTAAGACATATTTCCTAAGTGATAGACTATTGGTGGAGGAATCCTAGGCAAACTGACCCACCAATACTAAGTGAGTGGTTAATATCCAATAAACTGGAGTAATACAAGTCTCAAAGGAAGGATCCAAAGTTATTGTCTAGTCCAGTTTCTTCATTTTATGGACAAGAAAAACAAACTCCAGAGAATTAAAAGGATTTGCTCATGGTTAAACAGCTAGTTGGTGGTAAAGCCAAATTTGAACCCAGGTCCTCAGATACTAACTCCCTTGTTCTTTCCACTACACTGTCCTGCCTCCCTAAGTCATGTGTACCAATGAGATTCTCTTATTTCTACAGAGCATTTGTTAAAAAGTAATTACTCATAAAGGACTATGGAGAAGTACAGGATCTAGCCCAACACATATTACCAAGAAAGCCTACCTAAATTTTCTTTAAATCACTTGTACTTTGGATGAAATCAAAGAAATTCTCCCCACTAGATTCTCTGTCCCCTCCTCCCACTTTTTTTCCTTGGGTATGAAATTCTGGAAAGTTTACACATGCAAGGGTAAGGCTTGCAAATTGCTTGAGCAGGGAAGAAAGTTTGGTTGTTTGGACAATATGCAAATGATTCATTTCCTTACCCCAGATAACCCAAATCTGCTTCTTTTTGTTTTTTTAAACGGGGTATTTTTTTACATTTCCGGAGTCTGGCTGTTTATACAGCTCCTTGTAGACATTTGCAAAGCCTCAAACGCCAAAATAAAGTTCTCCTCCCCATTAAAAATAGTTTGCATTTCTATAGCCTTTTACTGCTTACAAAGTGATTTCCTCATAACAACCCTGTGAAATAGGAAGCTTAAGTCTACAGTATCCCTATTTGATATACCAGGAAATGGTGGCCTAAGAGGTCAAGTGATCTGGCCAAAGTCATGCTCTTAATAAGTGGTGAATTCAAGAAACTCTAGTTTTCAATCCAGAATAGATGTCCAGGGATTTTTTGATTCTACTGTCATGTCCATTCAAAAATTATAGAATTTGGAGCTGGAAGGGTCCTTAGAGATCATCTAGCCCTGAATTTCTTACCCTTTTTGAAGTCATAGACTTCTTTGGCAACAGTTTGGTAAAGCCTATGGACCCCCTCTCAGAATCATGTTTTTAAATGCATTTTTAAAAAACAGAATTACAAGAGAAGTCATTTATATTGAAATTTGGTTATAAAAATATTTTTTAAATAAGTGCATGGACATTAGGTTAAGAATCTTTGATCTAGTCCAACCTCCTTCTTTTTTACAGATCAGGAAACCAAGGCCCAGGGATGCTAGGTGATTTTCCCAAGATCCCACTGGTAGTAAGTGGCAGAATCAGGATTAAAACCCAGGTCCTTTGACCCTCAAACCAGTGGTCATTCTGCTACATACTTTTAGCTAAAAAGGCAGCTTCCCAAAGTCATTCAGAAGTCCTTGCAAGTGCATGCATTTAAGACTTGCTCCTTCCTTCTTAGAGTTTAGATCCAGAAGAATCTGTAAAGCCAGGACAGATCAATAGTATTGTCCCTCCTCAATCAAGTTACCACTGATTCCTGCACATGAATAAAAAGACCAAGTCTAGACCCAGAGCAGACTCTGTCCGAAATGTATTTTTAAAGAATCTATTTCCTATAGGCAGGTGTGGGGATGAGCCTCTAGGGGGATGCTGATAAGCTCCCAGACAAAATTCCAGTCTGTTGCGCCAGGATTCTAGCTGACATACTGAATTGTCCTGAAAAGTTAAAAGTTAAAAGTTTTAATTCATTCTCAAATATTTTAATGGAATTTTAGAGCTTGTGTTAAAGGTTTTAATTCATTCTCAAATATTTTAATGGAATTTTAGAGCTGGAAAGGACCTCAGTAATCATCTGTCTGGTCCAGTCATCCCCAAGCATCCGCCAAGAGACTGGAAAGTGTTATTCCAAAGATGGCCAAACTGGTTGTGATTGACACACATCTCTTTCTACCACATTCCATTTTTTGCCATTTTCAAGATTCCCCAAGGGAATGAGGAACAGCCTCTTCTAGTTCATATCCAACCCCTGACACTAACCAGCTGTGTAACTCTGGGGCAGGTCACAACTTCTATCTACAACTAGTTCCCCCTTCTTGGACCTCAGTTTCCTCATCTGTAAAATAACAGGGTGCAGGGGCAACTAGATGATGCAGTGGATAGAGCCCCAGTCCTCAGGAGGATGAAATAGGGTTAACAGCCCATTGGCGTTGTTGTGAGGATGAAATGTGATGATTTATGTCAATTTTATTGCAAACCTTAATGGGCTAGAGAAATGTTAGTTATCATCATCATTATTAATCGGAGCAATAAACGAACACTTCCATGCCTGAAGGATAATTACATTTTTGTTCTTCTTCAGGAACTATTCGGTAAACCTTGTATGGCTCAGAAATGTCCAGTTGGGATCGATCCGTCACCTCCTCAAAGTCTGGGCTCTTGTTCAATGCACAGCGTAACCTAGTCTTCCAAGTGGCTGGTTCAGCTTTGTCCCCTTCTTTAAACTTTCCTTTAAAAACTGCCCAGGCCTAAAAGAAGAAGGAAGAGGGGGGAAAAAAGAGAGAAGGAGACATTCAGTATACTGGCCAATTCTGAGATCATTCAAGAGGGCCTGCCATGGAAACCCCAACCCAACACACTGGTGGGTACCCTAAAGAGCCTCTCCTGCAACACATCCCCTTCTGCCATTTTACACAGATGGAAACTAAAGCCTAGGGAGCAGAAGTGACTTGTCCAAGGTCCCAGGCCCATTAATGACAGAGTTAGCACTAGGACTCAGGCTTCTGGGCTCCCGGCCAAAGGTTCTTTCTGTTACAAGAAGGCTTTCCCCCATTATGGAGCTAGAAAGGGCCTTTAAGAAGATCTAGTTGGGGGCAGCTAGGTGGCACAGTGAATAGAGCACTGGCCCTGGATTCAGGAGGACTCAAGTTCAAATTTGGCCTCAGACACATAGCACTTACTAGCTGTGAGACCCTGGGCAAATCACTTAACCCCACTGCTTACCTTTAAAAAAAAAAAAAAGAGGATCTAGTTATGGGATGATCATGGATTTAAGCTGGAAGGACTCTCAGAGGCCACCTACGTGATCCTCTCATTTTACATATGAAGGAAACTGAGGCCCAGAAGACTTAGAATCATAGACTTAAAGCTGGAAGAGACTTCAGAGTCCATCTAGTTAGACCCCCCCCATTTTACAGATAGGGAAACTGAGGCCCAAAAAATGTAGAATCATATAGAGCTGGAAGAGACCTTAAAGGCCATCTAGTTTAGCCCCTTCATTTTGCAAATTGGGAAACTGAAGCCCAGAGAGGTGAAGAGACTTACCCAGAGTCACACAGCTAACCAGTGTCTGAGGCAGGATTTTGACCAAGGTCTTCCTAACTCCAAGCCTAGCTCTCAATCCACTACTCCCAAGCTAACTCGCTTAAGGTCACCCAGGGTAGAACTTGAACCCAGATCCTCTGCTGGAGCCAATGAACTCTTCACTACATCAAAGCTGGCTTCATTTAACAGCTACAAAGGCTGAAAGAGGTCGTGAAAACCACAGTGTGAGTTAACAAAAGAGCCAGGATCCAAATGCTGGTCTCCAGCCTCCTAATTCAGGGCTCTTTCCATAGTATTCTACCACCTTTTAATAAAGACTGTCCCAGTACAAAAGGGCCTTAATCCCCTTGAGGTTAAAGAGCAGAAAGAGGAAGTTACTCCAGTTCATGAGAGTTTTTCACACATTGAACCTCTATCAATTTTTTTTAAAAACCCAACCCTGGCAACAATTTAGCCTGTAAGGGACACTATGCAAATAGTCTTAATTTAGTTATCTATCCCTCTGTTATTTTTAACAGAAAGGTGTTTTTCATTTACATAGCACACACCCCCAACCCCACTCCCAGGCTTTATTTCAAAAAGACAATGAATTTTTGTCTCCCTTTTCTTGTTTTTGGGCAGCCTCCAGTTTCTGACCTCTCCAAATCTCAGGATCAGGATGAATAGGAACCTCAAAAATCTCACTGGGGAGAGACAGACAGACAGAGACAGACAGAGAGACAGAGACAGAGAGGGAGAGAGAGACAGAGACAGAGAGAGAGAGAGACAGAGAGAGAAGGCAGCTGAAGTGTTAATGTGAAATTGTTTCAAACAAATGGTTTAATTGGCTATTCTGTGGCCTCCTAATCACAATGTAAACATACTGAGGAGGCAAGCTTGTGAGAAAGAGAATTCCACTTTCACAGGAGGACTGCGTCTCAAGATCTTAGCTTCTCCACACTTTGTAGAGACCGAACCTTGGGATGTTTGACTGAATTTTTTACTTTTCATCTAGAGAATTGGATGGTGTGGCCACCATATCTAAAAGTGATCCTAGAACCGGAAGGAACTCTTGAAACCAAAAAACTGAGACCCAGAGAGGCAAAGTAACCTGGCCAGGGTCACACAGCTAGGACAGGACAATCCAGATAGCCCAGGACTCCTGATCCTGACGGGCCAGAACTGTTTCTCAATCTCTCTGTACCACAGTAGCCCTTATGACAAGCAGCTGTAACCCTGGCATTGTTTAATAAACAGACACAACAAGGAAATGTAAGGTTAAAAGCAGCGTTCTCTTTTCTGATTACCCTCCGAGTTCTGGCTCTGAAGGCAGCACTCACTGCCTATGGGAAAAGTAAGATTTAGTACCAAGGGACCTGGATTCTACTCTTGGTTCTGTGACTAACCAAGGACAACAGCATGTATATAGCGCTGGAAGGTTTCCAAAGAACTTTATAAATATTATCTCATTTTAACTTCACAACAACCCTGGGAGGTATGAGGCATTATTATCCCCATTTTACAGATGAGGAAACAGGCAAGCAGACTCCCCCATGGTCACATAGCTAGTGTCTGAGGCCAGATTTAAACTCAGCTCTTCCTGACTCTGAGTCCAGAGCTGTATTCTCTGTACCACCTAGCTATTAAGTACCTATGTGAGACTAGTTCCCCCTTTTTGGGCCTCAGTTTCCTCATCTGTAAAATAACAGGGTGCAGGGGCATCTAGGTGATACAGTGGATAGAACCCTAGTTCTCAGGAGGACCCAAGTTCAAATCTGACCTCAAATATTTATAAGCTGTGTGACCCTGTGCAAGTCACTTAATCCTGATTGCCTCAAAATAATAATAATAATGATGATGGTGATGATGATGATGATAATGATAACAAGAACAGAGTGGGACCAGATCATAGATTTAGAGCTGGAAGAGATCTCAGAGACCAATTACCTCATTTTACAGATGAGAAAACCAAGGCTTGGGAAGATTCACTGACTGCCCCCAAGATCACGTAAGTAGTAAGGATTAGAAGAGACCGTAGAACCCTGGTCTTCTGACTTCAGAACAAGTGCTCTTTCCTCAGCACCTTAATAATGACTACACATTTAGAGGGGGAAGGGAATTGAGAGATGACCGTTCAATCCTCTCATTTCACAAATGAGGAAACTAATGCCCAGAGAGAGGAAAGATTATAGGACTTGAGGTTAGAAGACAGTAATGATGATCCTTTGCCTCTCTGGGCCTCAGTTTGCCCATCTGTAAAATGAAAACAATGACACTTAAACTGCCTCCCTCCCAGGGTTATCCTGAAGGTCCAAAGAAATAATGTCCGAAGTATACTTTCTAAATTTCCTTCAATTCAAGCCACACTAATTAAGCATCTACAAATGCTCAGCACTGGGAGAGAGAAAAAGTTTCAGTAGGATGAGGTCATTGCGTTTTTGGAGATTGTGATCAAGTAGGGCTATGAGTTATTATTAACATTTATCTTAAGAGATCTCAATACTGAGGCATCTGGTCAAGTCTACCAGATGTTTTATCTAGGTGGTGCCAAGGATATGACAGCATGAAGGCAAGATGTGCCAAGGTCATCAATTTACTCCTTAGCTGTTATGTCAGAAAGCAGTGGGGATTGGTAGGAGCCCTGAATTTGGAGTCAGAAGTCCTGAGTTCAAATCTCAGCTCTTCTGTTTACTTCCTGTTTAAACATAAGTACATCCTTTCTCCGGGTCTGAGTTTCCTCATCTGTAAAAGAGGGTATTTGGATCAATTGCTCTCTAAAATCAATGATTCTTGATTAGTTGAAGATTTGACTGATATAATCTAACTCAGTGCTTGGACCTCAGCTCAGCTCCATAAAGGAATACAACCCAGTTCCACTGGCAGAAATGCCTACAACCAAACAAAAGATGCTACTATTGAGAACAGGGAAATGGCTACTGGCATTTGAATGCATCCAGTTTCTGCAGACTATAATCTCCTTGAGGGCAGGGAACAATATCTCATGTAAACCGTATAGCTTCCAGTGCCCAATGTAGGCCCCCTACATACAACAGAGTTAACAAATGTTTGTTGCTATATTACTATTGTAAAGCAGGGATTCTTAACCTGGGGTCCATGGCCTTGTATAAAATGGGATAATATCTGTATAATATGAGATAATATTTGTATTATATATTTCATATTGTATAATAAATATTCATATTTGTATATATGAAATAATATTCATATTACACATTTTGTGTTGTGTAATAAATATTTGTATGAGATAATATTTGTATAGCACATGGTGCAATACATTGCATTATATATTGTATTGTATAATACAATATTTGTATTTGCATGAAATATTTGTAAAGAGCTTTGCAAGCCTTAAAGTGATACTTAAATGCTAGCTATTATTATTATTTAATATTTCATAACTGTATTTCAGTGTAATTGGTCACTTTTGTAATCGTCTGTATTTTGTTTCTGTATTTTGGTTTACACATTTAAAAACATTCTTCTGAGGAGTCCATAGGTTTTTCCAATCTGTTGCCAAAAGGGTCCAGGACATACAAAAGGGGCTGATTCCTTCTTGTAGAGGGAGCTGATTAGGAAATGTGTGGTGATAATGTAAGCAGAGAGGTGAGAATTAGGAGATCCAGATGGATTCTGTGCGAACTTCACTTCCAATTTGTCATGTGGTCTGAAAGCAAGTAATTGACATTCTCTGTTCTCCATTTCCCCCATCTGGCTTCAAGATGCTACCTTACATTCTCATTCTTGGTCCTTTACCCTGTGGCTAAACAATCTCTGGAACACTGGCCCAAAGGGTCTGTGCCCTGATCTTAATCTGAGCATGGAGTAAGGTTCACAGAAGGACAATGGCAGAGAAAGAAGGAACCTTAGAAGTCATCCAGCCCAACTGAGTCCAAGTTACAAAAAGGATTGATGTAGTTAGGGAAAGTACGAGAGAGTCAGGAGACCTGGATTCATGTACCGGATCTATCCCTGGCTACCTGTGGTAGCTTAGGCAAAGTCAATGGGGATTGAAATACTCTCACTCCCTACCTCCCAAGCTAGCAGGGAGAGAAGCAATTTAGAAACCTTAAAACATTATGTGAAAGTTACAAAAACATTATAGAAAACACTATAATAAATATTGATTTTAAATGATTTTAAAGTTGATTATTAAGCCAACAAGTGGTAAAAGCACACAGATTCGTCCTACGTGTTTCTATTAATCATTATGTAGAGTAATAGCAGTCCGATGACCTGGATTCACATTCCAGCTCTATCACCTATAATGTCTGTGCAGCCTTAGACACATGGCTTAACCTCCATGAGCCTCCTATTCTCCATCTGTATAATGGGAGTAATATTATTTGCAGTAACTATTTCACAGAGCAGTTGTGAGATGCAAATAAGGTCATACAAGAAAATCATTTAAAAAATTGTAAAGCATTAAAGAAATATGGATTAGCACTGTTGATATAAAAACAGACAAAGAAATCTTAGTCAAGGACAAATCCCGTGATCTTATGAATTAGAACTTATGAATTAGAATCATATGAATCTTATTAATTATGGCTCAAGAACCTTAGATAATAAGCCCATGTCTCAATCATTTTTGTATCTAAGACAACCCAACACAAGACTTTACCCTCTGTTCCCCCACAGATACGATTTTATTGATATAGGGAATTCCCAGGTGGGAAACTCTATCAATACAGATCCACACCTGCTCAGCAAGTTTGTAATCATAGGCTAACTGAAACCACCACTTAATAGTGACTTGTTTGCCATTTCCTTCTCCAGCTCATTTTACAGATGAGAAAACTGAGGCACACAGGGTTAAGGGACTTGCCTAGGGTCACTCAGTCAGACAGAAGGCAAGGTCTTCCAGACCCTTAACATTGGTCCTCTAACGCTAAGCCATGCAGCTAGGTGGCTCAGGAGACTGGGTATTGGGCCTGGAATCAGGAAGACTTGAGTTCCAATCCAGTCTTAGACACTTATTAGCTTTGTATCTGGATAAGTCACTTGACTTCCATCTTTATCAGTTTCCTTAACTATAAAATGGTGATAATAATAACACCTAACTCCCAGGATTATTGTGAAGATTAAATGAGTAATGTTTATAAAGCACTTTATATACCTTAAGCTCCCCATAAACAAGAACTATTATTACTGAATCATGTTTTTTTCTTATATTTAGTAAGTATATACACACATATATACATATATGTGTATATATGTGTGTGGGTGTATATATATATATATATACATATATATGTGTATATGTGTGTATATATATATACATATGTGTGTGTATATGTGTGTATATATATACATATACATATATATATGTATACACACACACACATATAATCTGTTGTAGGACTGACTCAGTGAAGAAACCAAAGATTTAGAAATCATCTGGCATTCTTGGTTAGCACCAAAATAAATCAAATGTGTAGTATCGGGTTTTAAGTTAGGAACCAAGAAATATTTCTCAGTGATTTTTTGCTAACCCACCGTCAAGGGCATAATAATTGGAAAAGCAGGAGATTGTTCATAGAATAGGAGCAAGGGATAACAGATGGATGTATGAAATATGAACAGAACCAAAGGAAGGCTTCTCGCATAGTAGATGGGTCCTCCATGAAGGATTTGGGAAAACACATAAACAAGCATCACATAAGACAAGAAAACAAGGACAGGTGGCCATCTCTACTTGTGATGGGGGCAGCAGGGGGGGGGGGGATACCAACATATGCATGAAATGATAGATCCTTGGTGTCAAAATATATGCCACAGATACAGTAAGGAAGGTGATAAGAGAAAACGTTATTTCTGAATTTCTGGGCTCTGTTTAAAGCAACTGAAGAATTTAAAGAAAATTAATCATTAAACATTTCAATCCGTTCACTAAATTGAGAAGCGATCACAATTCCGGCAGATTTCTTTAGGAAAGAAACGCCTCTCCATACCTTGAAAATAGAAGCATCCACCTCCTGATTATAATCCTGCTTGCCGGCATGTTTCCAAGGGATCCGAAACATGCTTTTCTCCTCATTTTCCCAGATGAGCCCAGGATACATATTACTGTCAATTTGTTCAATCAGCCACTGCCGGAGACGTCTACCGCTATTTCTGTCGCACATCCTGAAGGAAAGAAATCAAAGGTCAACTATTCATCAGTCAGTTTCCTCCCTCCCAGGTGTTCTAACAACCAAGAAATGCCGTATCAGAAAATGGGGGCTAGAAGCGTATAAGCTTCCCTCATCAGAGAACAGGGAGAATCCAGAAACCTGAGAAGTCACTGGAGAAAGGAGACAGTTGTTGGCTCTATGACATCAAATGCTTCAGTAAAAACAAGAAATATGATTTTTAATCGCCAGTATTACAAATTACATAATGCCAAGCACCCAAATGTAAGGAAATTCTCTTGATTTTTTTTTAAGGAAAAAATTCATTTTTCAGGTTTTATCAGTTTTGTGGTAAAATATCCACAAAGGCAAAGTCTAAATATTCCAGTCCACTTTGTTGTTGTTACTGTTGCTGTTTTTATTAGTCCTTCAGTTTCAAAGGACCAGTGATGTCCTGAGTGATGTCTTGACTTCTATGTGAATTGGATTTAAGCGAGAGACAGTTGCACAAAGTCATAAGCCTCACTCTTTCTTCCTCAGTCATGGAAAGCCTGTGTCGGGACAAAAGTCAGGGCAACTGGTGATGGCCTAGGATGACCTTGGCATCTTCCATGCCTGACCAAGCTCTAAGCACTCCACAGCACCTGCTTCAGTTGCCCTCACGGCCATTGGAACAAACTGTTGCCATCAGCCCATTCAACAGGGGAAGTCTTCACATGCTTGAGGTAGACACTGCCCCCAACTCACTAATGGGTTTGAGATATGTCAGTTATTCTCAACCTGTTTTAGCCCATCTGCCCCCTATACAGTTTTATCTGGGCGGCCATTGTGCATACTACAACTTCTTGGAGCCATGGGTGAGAGATGGGTGAAGGTGGATATCAAAGGCGGATGAGCAGCCCCGCAAAGGGCTCACATCATTGGTGTTCAGCCTCCCTGAACACCCCATACACCCCTGTGGTCCACTCTGACCAGGAAATGGGAAAGCTACTTCATACTAATAGAGAAAAATCCCAAAGTCTGCCAACCAACACTAATCCCACCTTCCTACCTGTGTGACTTTGGAGAAGTCACCCAACATCTCCTCAGCTGTAAAATGAGAACATTGGACTCAATGACCTCTAGGGTCCCTTTCAGCTCTAAATCTGAGATCCAATGATCTTTTTTTAATGCATTCACTCCTGACTTCTACCTAGGAGAATCCCGAGCATCTTTCAGGTGCTTCCTCCTACAGAAGAGTTTTCCTGAGCCCTGCTCACCCCAATCAGTTGGTAGTGATCTATCCTTCTGGAAAATACTTTTTTTATGTTACATTTATTTACTTATGTGCACATGTAATATCCCCACCCCACCACACCGAAGAATGTAAGCTCCTTGAAGGCAGGAATAATTTCATTTTTGTCTTTGCATTCTGGCACAGTGTTTTGGATATAACAGTGGCTTAACAAATGTTTGCTGAATAGAATTACTGGATGAATCAATTGATTATAATTCAGAAATAGAATGAAATGTTGTCCCTGACTTACCAAAATGATACCATTGATCTCATGGGTAGAACACGAGATTTTGAGTTTGTTTTTTCTTTCTCTCTCAATAATATCATATCCTACCTATCATCTTTAATTCTTCTCAAAAGAAAACAATGTATTAGGTAAACACTACTACGGGGAGGGGAGTTAATTCCATTAGAACAATAACAACAGTAATACTGATTCATGTTTACATAATGCTAGGATATTCACAAAATGCTATTCTAATAGCAACCCTTTTAGGTAGGGACTGTGAGTATTATTATTCCCATTTTATAACTGAGGAAACTGAGGCTCAGAGAGGTGGCATGATTGGCCTAGGTTCACAAAACCAGCAAATGCTGAAGTCACAGTTTATAGGATTGTAGGATTCAGAGCAGCGAGGGACTTTGGAACTCATCCAAACCCATCGTTTCACATAAAAGGAAACTGAGTCCCAGAGAAGTGAAGTGTATTGCCCAAGATCACACAGCTAGTACAGAGCAGAGCTAAGATTCAGACCCAGAAAGTTGTCATTCCTGTAGACTGATCTTACATTGGAATTTGGTTATAAAGTATTAATCATGTTTATTAAAAACACAACACTGACCAGGGTGACTTTAAGACAGAGATGTTTGTGGATCCAATCAACTCACATGGTGCCACTCTACCCATCCCACCCAATTGTTAGTTTTCTCTCCTTCTTGAAATTATTTCATTTACTTTACATCTATTTACTTAATCGTGTACATTTAATATTGCCTCTGCCTCCCCCCTATAGAAAATAAGCTCCTTGAGGACAGGAATTATTTCATTTTTGTCTTTGTATTCTCAGGGTCTGCCACACTGTTTTTGCACATAGTAATGGCTTGTTAAACATTTGCTGAATAGAACTATTGGATGAATAAGTTGATTATAATTCAAAGATACTTGTCTCTTCTACATCTTTATAATACCAGTCATATGCGCCTGAAAGGTGGCTGGCCAGGACCAGGGGGCATAACCAAAACACAAGAATAGAACAAAGCTAACTGGTCTCTTTAGTGATCAAACCTATTAATCTCTTTAGCACCATTTTCTAAGCAATTTGGGCTACAAACCAGCCACAGAAAAAACAGGAATAATTCTCTCCAGCTTCTCAGATCTATCTCTTGTAAGAAGAGTCTTTGGAATCGAAGCACCATGCCAGAACATGTCCATTTTCCCAAGAACCATATGGGTGACAATCATGCTTTATTATCTTACAGTCATCATTTACAAGAACAACAGCTGGAAATCCCCTAAACAGTTGGCGAGACGCCCACCCAAAAAATAACATGTGTGTTCTGTGCAGTAAAATATAACCTCTTCCTGACGGGCAACAATCAATAGTTACAAAGCATGACATACAGCATGATTCAACCCAATCCAGAGGTAAATTAATCGCTGAGTCAGCACTGCCCATATCTTCAGGGTATATCTGTAGCCTGGAGACCCACCTAGATTGTAAGGACATCTTACACTGGATGAGGAGACAAAGAGTTTCTGGTCAAATTTCTGCCAAAACTGCTTTTGTCCAACTCATCCAAATACTTTAGTTCATCCATCCCTGTTGCTTTATGAATTTAAAGAGCAATGGAAGGGGGCAACAGATGGGGCGGGGGGACGGGAATGCAGTCTCAATTGTGCCTTCCACTGAAGCCTTCCCTGTTTCTCCTGGTCAGCAGTGATCTCCCCCTTTGGACTACAGAAGATACTTCACTTAGCACCTTTCTGGAGTCCTTATTATATATCCCATATGTCAGTTTTCTATCTTCATGTCTTTTTCCTTTACCTGACTATAAACTTCCTAAGGGTAGGGACTAAGACTTCAGCTCTCTGTTTCTCCTGGAGATAGCCAGTGTTCTACCCACCATAATTGGTTGATGAATGAATGAATGACTGATGTAATCTCACTGACCCTAAGTTCCATACCAGTAAAATGAAGGGCTTGAGAACTCTCAATTCTCCCAACTCTATGCTCCTAAAAAGCATCCACTGTGATCCCTTCCCCATGGTAGGAGTCAGTATGGGAGAAAGGAAAGAACACTGAACTTCCAGACTCAACACTTAGCATCTGTATGACCTTGGCTAACTCACTTCACTTCTCTGAAACTCAAATTCCTCATCTATAAAATGAAAATAAGAGGTGGACTAGCGGGATTGTTCGGGAAGCCATTTGATCAATTCAAAAGTGTTATGGAAGTGTGAGGTAACATTGTAATTTTATTATATGCAGTCTTACTTGGAATAAGATTACATTCTTCAGCACATTATATCTTGTAAGTATAGACTTTCAAATGAGGCTTGACCAAGGAATCAAACAGTTGAACAGCCAAGAAAAAAAAAAGTGGTTTTATCCCTGATGGGACAGCATCATGGTGGGGAGCTATGCTAGAACAATAAAACAAAATTAAACAGCCTCCTGGAACAGAATAACACAATGTATACAATAAGGAAAGGTCTCATAGAGGACAGAAGGATTTCATTAACATTAACAATTGTTGCCATTTGGAAGACTCAGCGATCAGGGTGAGAGAAAGGTGAACAATATACAATTGAGGGTCCTTGCTTTTCCCTTTTACTAAATTAGCCATCTAAAGTCATTAGCATTTTATATTTACTATGGCTGTCCTTCTGCAGGGTTTTTTCAGAAAGGAAATTTAGTTGCCCTGAAGACTAAAAGCTTTTTTCTTTTTTTAAGGCAATCAGGGTTAAGGAACTTGCCTAGGTCACACAGCTAGTAAGTGTCTGAGGGCAAATTTTAACTCAGATCCTCCTGACTCCAGGGCCCATGCTCTATCCACTGAACCACCTAGCTACCCCTAAGACTAGGGGTTCTTAACCTGATGTTCAAAGAATGGATTTCAGAGAGCTTGTGAACCAGGATGGGAAAAAAATATTTTGATAACTGTATTCCGACATAATTAGTTTCCTTTGTAATCCTATGTACTTCATTTTATGCATTTATTAAAAATATTCTGAGAAGTGATCTGCCAAGAAGAGACATGATATCAAAAAAGATTAAGAACCCCTGAGCTAGTCAAAGCTCCACTACTCCATCCCACCCCAGCCCACCCAGCATTTAAATACTGGATCTGGAAATTAAGGTGACTTGCCCAAAGTCATCCAACAGTTGGTTGGACCCAGCCTTGAGCCTGGGTCTCCTGACTCCCAGTCTAATGAGTGTCCTCTACACTACATCAAACTAATAAAAGGCAGAAGCCAGATCCAAGTTTTCAGCATACATACAGATTTAGCTTAATTTTAATTGGAGTGTGGTCCAAAAGAAGGAGGTCTGGATTTAGTCAGAGAAGAACTAGGTTGAAATTCTAGCTCCAGCACTAGAGAGCAAGTCGTTTCCCCTCTTGGGGCCTCACTCTCCTCACCTGTAAAATGGAAGGCTAACTTCCTTCACATATGCCTTTTGAAAGGGATGCCCTTTGGAAGCCCTGCCTAGAGCATGAGAGAAATGGGAGCAATTATTATC